ATTTGAAAAGAATACGAGCTGAGTTTCTTGTCAGTTCTTCTCATCTCGATATCATTCCGAACTGACGGTAGATTTGACACATCATAAGAGTCTGTAATAGACCTACATGAATAAAGATATTTTGAATTTGAATGAGTTATTCGTACATATTATTTCCAATCTACTTGCCCCCGCTAATGGAAGGTTTTTTAGACCTATAGCACTGCCTACATAGATATAGTGCGGTACATCTAAATAGGCAATGATTAGGTACCACTTACCATCAAGGACGTCAAGTTTATAATAATAACGACGAATTTCGACGACCTCGGTGGTCTAGCGGTCTAGCATACCGCTTTACGATGGTCGTGGGTTCGATTCCTCGCACGGCACAGACATTTGTATTCGTGAGTATGATTGTTTGTATCGGTCTGGGTGTTTTCTATGTATAATATGTATGTATTTACAAAAAAAATATCTATGTATATGTATCAGTTGTCTAGTACCCACAACACAAGGCTCTAGATAATGCTGTGTGAATTGTCAAAAAAAAACCCTGCACAGTTAACACAGCGCCATGTAGCCCCACGGTAAGAGCTTGTGTTATGGGTACTAGACAACTGCAACTGATACAAATACTTAGATACTTTTTTTTGTAAATACATACGTATTATACATAGAAAACACCCAGACTGATACAAACAATCGTACTCATGAATACAAATGTTTACCGTGCGTTATTTTTGAACCTAAACATTATTTTTTCTGTGCTAAAACGGTACACCACTGAAGACGTCAAACGTTTGATATTACAATTACATAAAAAAATTGACACGAGAAGATACCAAGAGGACGAGAATAAAAGCCTCCGTCAATAATAATAATATTTTTGTCAATTTTTCCACACAGACAGAAAAAGCAAACGAAGATGCGGGAAAAAGCTAGTCACATTTACATTGACACATTTCTTTACAATGTTACTTTAGAAGTATCTCCTTTGGTAAGTTCAACTACTATCCTTTTAATAAAAACCATCGCTCCTAAGAATATCCTTCAATTTTGTCCCTGACGGGTCTAGGTAGCGAACTTTGAAATAGGGCAAAACAATATATAGTAGTCGCAGTGCTACAAGTGCTACACATATAAAAAATATAAACCTACAAATAAATAAACTTTTAGATAACGAAACTTGTTATATCATCTGTAAATTTATTCTCGTAAACCAGTCTTCTATTACGCATTCAAGAATTTATAAAGAACGTACTAACCTATCTGTTTTTATAATAGTTTTTTATTTATCTTACTAATATAAACGCGAAAGTTTGTAAGTATGGATGTTTGTTACTCTGACGCAAAAAGTGCTGAATGGATTTTGATGAAACTTTACAATAATATAGCATATACACTAGAGTAACATATAGGCTATAAATTTCATATATTATTATACATTAATATAGATCTACGTAGGTCGTAGTGCTATAGGTTTCTTAGCATCAACTAATAGCCAAATACTTTTTTAAAAGTGTTTTTATAAGAATTTTTGGTATATAATATATACATATATATATATCATAGTTTTTTTAAATATTTGTGTTATTTCTACGTGAAGCCAGTTCCGGAATAACCTAGTCCCAAGACAGGCCCAGGCCAGTCACAACAGATCTGACTCCCCGTCAAATTTAAACGGGGATCGAAATTACGACGGCCTGAGCCGAAGTTCGAACCCCTAGCGCTTGGGGGAAAGGGGATTGTTAGTAATGTGGACTAATGAACCTATCGCTAGCAATGTACCATGTCAGATCGACCTTCACGCGGTTCCCCCTGGAAACCATCGTGATACATTCCTGGTGAATTTGTCACGATGTGCTAACTGACCTGACCTCATGCTCATCTTATCATCCTCCACTGGTGCCCCGCCAGCGTAAACCGTTAGCGCAGGCGGGTGCACCATTCCATTATCATCCATTAAAAAACTTGACGTTCATAAGCAGCTAAAATGTAGTACATGAATAAATGATTTTTGAATTTGAATTTGCTCCATAAGTTCCTTTGGAAAATGCCAAAAACTCGCCTTTTATAAAATAGTTCGAATAAAAACTCAACTTTTTTATATTCTAGTATTTGTACTAGTACATAGTTTAAATTGCTAAATAACCTGACTTCATGCTCAACTTCTCATCCTCCACTGGTGCCCCGCCAGCGTAAACCGTTAGCGCAGGCGGGTGCACCATTCCATTATGATACACTAAAAAAAACTACGCCACTGCCTCAATCCTGCACTAAGTACTGAACAATACTGGAAGATATTCACTGACCAAGGACTATTACTCACTAAACGATTACTTGAATGACGAGCGTGCATGGCAATAGTTTTCATGTTCGGGATTTTCATTTAAAGTTAGACATAGACACCTATATAAATACCTATACATTGTAAGTAAACTGGCTTTTAAAAAAAAAGTACTTCTTTTTTTTATTTAATATTTTTTTGGATACAAGTATTTTTAGCCCAAAAGAAAATACATGAATAAAAACCGTTTTAAAAAAATTATAATTTTGTGTCAATTAGATATTTAATTATTTTTGCAATAAACATTCAATTTTTTCTATTAGTCCTAATCTAAACAGAGCTTTTCTATGGGTACTAGTCAAAAAGTAATTTTTCTTTTCCTATCAGTATTTTAAAAAGTACAAGACGTCCATATCAAAAATAGTTGCAATAAACACAAAAAGAATTGTACATAAAACCTCAACAATAATAATAATAATTTTAGGACAATTCACACAGCGCCATCTAGTGCCAAGCTAAGCAGAAGTGTTATGGGTACTAGACAACTAATAGCTGTTACTGGAGCGGGAACACAACTACTATTTTAATAAAAACCAAATATACTAGTAAAAATGTGTATTCTTCCCAAAAGGGCTTACAGCAAGAAGTAACAAAACAATATATAGTTAGTCAAAAGTGACATATAAAAAATATAAAGTTAATAAAAAGAATGGTAGACAAGCTACAGTAACAATAGCTATTTATTTATTGCTCCCTCTTGACTATTTTCTAACTATTATTATACACAAGGTAGTTATTATAATAATAATAATAATAATAATAATCTCACGACAATTCACACAGCGCCATCTAGTCTTAAGTTAAGCTAGCTAAAGCTTGTGTTATGGGTACTAGATAACAAATAAATTTTTTCGTAAATGATACAAATATTTTTTTTTTTCGTAAATACATACATAACTCCTTCACTGTCCAAGCCATTCGCCTCTGGAACTCTCTACCACTCTCCATACGATCAGCTCAAACACATGCATCATTTAAAAATAGACTAAAATCTCATTATCTCTCTTCAAAGTACATGTTTTTTTTTCGCATTTCTTACAATATGTAGTTTATATGTATGTATATATGTAGGTTTATATATTTATTCCCTTATTGTATGTATGTATATCATATATCTAGTAGTATAATAAATAGTGTCTTATGTGTGCCACCTACCCTATTATGTGTACATAAGTCCTCTCTTCTAGGTTGTCAGTAAGAGATTGCATTTAGCGATAAGACCGCCTTTTGTAATTATTTTACTATTTACTGTATTTTCTTATTATTTTATGTAGAAATAGAAATAGAAATAATCTTTATTCAAATAAACTCATTACAAGCACTTTTGAATAGTCATATTTTGATTCTACCACTCATTCGGAATGCAGATTCATCACAAGAAGAACGAGCAAGAAACTTGTGTGTTGCTCTTTTTAATAGATGTTTTTTTATATAAATAATTACACTATGTGTACACAATAAAGAGTTTTATTATTATTATTATACTTATAAATACTTAAATACATTTTTTATAAACACATACATAATGTGGAAATGGGATTGTTAGTAATGTGGACTGATGATCTTATTGCTAGCGATGTACCATGTCAGGTTAACCTCCACGCGGTTCCTCCTGGAAACCATCATGATAAATTCTTAGTGAATTTGTCACGATGTGCTAACTGACCTGACATGCTCATCTTATCCTCCACTGGTGCCCCGCCAGCGCAAACCGTTAGCGCAGGCGGGTGCACCATTACAATATCATACAAAAATATATTTACATAGCATACGTATTAATACAAACAATCACACTAACAAACAAAACAAATGAACCATGCAGGGAATCGAACCCGCGACCATCGGAAGTAAGACGGTACGAACCACTAGACCATCAAGGTAATCAATAGATTTAAACTTAACCTTTATCTTATACGAAATCGTATATAAAACTAGTTTATTTATAAAAGTATTAGAAACATATAATTTGTACAGTATTTTCCTTAACATCTAATTCTTAAAATAACTAAACTAACCTAATTCTTTGAATAGATTCCAAAAATAGATTCTTTCATATGCTAATAGTTATGTTAAAACTGTAATAGCAAATATGCTGTGAGCACTACAACGGTGGATACCACAGGCGCATTCCTCATTGGTCGACATCGATGACGTCATAGCAAAGTCGACCAATAAGAAGCACCGCTCATCACACAACACATATGAGCACCAATAGAGAGGGTGTATACTCCACTCCACCCCTTTGTAATTTAAAAATGTTTAATTTATTCCAATAACGCTTCATAGAATAGAGAGATAAAGTTTCATACAAACTTTCATCCTCTATTTTATCCCCTTGGGGGTAGAATTAATCAAAATCCTTCTTAGCGGATGCCTACGTCATAACAGTGCCGTCCAGTGGTTTGGTCTGTGCGTTGATAGATCACTATGTCAGTCACCTTTGAGTTATATATATTTAGATTTTATTTACTATAAATAAATATTAACCGGATTGTGGTAGATTCTGCACATGCGTCGGCCTGATGCTGACAGGAACTGAGGAGCTGTCGAACAGATTCAGGTAGGTCCTCTTCCCATCGATGGATACGAAGCCCTGTTCCCCAGATGGTGACACGATGATGTCGTCATGATATTATTTAGATACATGTATACCAGTGCGAACCCGTAGTTGAAGATATAAATGAGTAGATCTCAATAGCTCACCACTTATCTACCATCCACCTACTATCATCCTCCACTGGTGCCCCGCCAGCGTATACCGTTAGCGCAGGCTGGTGCACCATTCTATTATCATCCATAAAAGTGTTACAATAAAGTCTAAATTAAACGATCAGCTCTTCGGTGAAGTAAGGGTGCTCCAAGCAGTCCAAAGCCGTCAGCCGTTTAGCAGGATCGAAGATCAGCATACCCTGGGAAATATTAGTAATAATTAATTGTTATAAAATTTATTTATTATAATTAACATATAATTTACCAGTAGCATCTATATCGTTAGATACTACCTTCTTCGTAAAAATTAAAATGTTGCAATTGCGTGGGTAGATTTACATATTGTACAAAATATGAATGAATTATTTTACTGATAAAGGATATAACAGACATAAACAATATAATAAGAGAGTTTTAATTTTATCTCTTTATATCGTAATGTACGCTTAATTAACTTAATGTGCTATCGTTGTCGTCGATCTCATATTGATTATTTCTGCCCTCACTGAGTTATAGACCGTTTTGTCTCATTCATTAGTTTTAAATTACATTATTGTCATCTGCCGCCGGTGTCTGAGAGGTTGAAGAGTAATCATCTATCATTGTATGGACATGTAATGCGTAGGAACGAGGATAATATTTTAAGAAAGGTGTTACATATGAATGTTGATGGTTATAAGGGCAGAGGAAGGAAAAAGAGATGGATGGACTGTGTGAAAGATGATATGGTAAGAAAGGAAGTAAATAACGAGATGACTGCGAACAGGGATGAATGGAAGAGAAAAACATATTACGACGACCACAAATAAATGGGATAAGGAAGAAGCAGGTGATGATGATGATTAGTTTGAAATTATATAATAGTATAGGTAACAATTGTTTGCTTTTGTTTGAGACAAATCTATATAATATTTTTCAAACATTATACTTTTGGTTTATTAATATTTTTTTTATTATGTGGGTAAAACTCGGGTATAAGTCCTACTACGTCTTCTGTCATTCCTCCCTATCCACGGCAGTTCGCATCCAGCCTATTCTTGCCATGTTTTTTATGTCATACGCCCATCTTTTTTTCTGCCGTCCTACTTTTCTATTGCCTGGCCCCGGCCACAGGCACCGACCACCAGCATATGCTATTGCAAAAGCAAATAGTCTAATCAGTGTTCGTAACCCTGAAAAATAAATAAATATGGACGAATTTGGTCTAGCGGTCTAGCACTCCGCTTTACGTCCGATGGTCGCGGGTTCGATTCCTCGCACGGCACCAAACATTTGTATTCATAACTATGATTGTTTGTATCAGTCTGATTGTTTTCTATGTATAATATATATGTATTTACGAAAAAAAATATCTATGTATTTGTATCAGTTATCTAGTACCCATAACACAAGCTTTAGCTAGCTTAACTTGGGTCTAGATGGCGCTGTGTGAGTTGTCCTGAGATTATTATCTTATATATAAAATTCTCGTGTCACAGTTTTCGTTCCCATACTCCTCCGAAACGGCTTGACCGATTCTCATGAAATTTTGTGAGCGTATTGAGTAGGTCTGAGAATCGGCCAACATCTATTTTTCATCCCCCAAAATGTTAGGGGTAGTCCACCACTAATTTTTTTTTTTATTTTAAGGCAAAACGTTTGCCGTGACAGCTAGTTATTAAATTAATATGTGGTTACCTGTATGAGGTCTAGTGCGAGTGGTGGTGTCCCCGGCAGCTGGTTTGCGAGGTTGCGTGGCGGGTAATCCGGGAAGCTGTCCCTCATCACGGCCGCAGTGGACGGCCACTCCTCGCGGGACGGTCGGCCCAACAGTCTGAATACAACAAAATATAATATATCCGTCTTTACCATAAGGGCACACGAGGCCCGTGCCCAGGGCCCCCATTCTTAAGGGGCCCCTGAAGGACTGTAATTTTTTCTCATACATTTATTCTCAAAAGATTTTTATCTAGCACACTAGACTTTTCACAAATCAGTAATGTTATCTATATGTTATCGATATATATATGTAGAAGGTATTTACAAAGCATATATTACGCCATTATACCGATTACTTCGCTTTTTCCTAGGTTCTTACACGTAGTAAATAAAATCAGTAATAAAATACATGAAATGTATATATTATGGGAAATTTGAACTCTGCTGCCAACTCTTATCGTACATTTATTTTATTTTGTTTATTTATATACACACTATCCTTACAGGCATATGCTGAATACAACAGTGCATCCAATATGTCATACAATCAATATGAAATCCAATATGATATATGTTAGGGAAAGTACTATGTATATATATAGGGAAAAACATGTGGAAGCGTCTGTCACGTACCTGTATGGTTCTGCGGATATCTTGGGCTTCAGGGTCTCGAAGATATCTTCGCTAGCCTTCCAGTTTCACAGTAGGTTTAACACAGTTCTAATTTATTTTAATTCACAACACAATGCGCGCGCGCGTCAAGGCCGCTGTACGGTCAGTTCAGTACTAGGTAAGAGAGGGGAAGTGAAAGCGCGGGAACAGAAAACTAACGGACTCTAATATAATAATCTGTGCTTACGATGATACAGGGTAGATTTTGAACAATATACATCTCAATATATAGTCGCAATATTATTTTATTTAAGAACCTTAGACACAGCAACGCGTGGCCGGGTCTGATAGTATACCACATACCTGAAGATGCAGTGGAGCTGGTCTGAATCAGATGCGCCTGGGAGTAGAGGAGCTCTGGTCCGAAGTTGAGCTAGAACTAGCCCAGCTGACCACACATCCACCGCTGTATTGTACGCCGCACCTAACAGCACTTCTGGCGGACGGTACCATAGAGTCACCACCTGCATCACGATTTTTTTTTAGTTACTGACAAACAAGCTAACGATACTAATATTCCATAAGAAATATGAAATAAAATAGACTAATCTACTGACGACCTCGGTGGTCTAGCGGTCAAGCACACCGCTTTAAGACCGATGGTCGCAGGTTCGATTCCTCGCACGGCACAAACATTTGTATTCATGAGTATAATTGTTTTTATCGGTCTGGGTGTTTTCTATATATATATATAATATATAATATGTATGTATTTACAAAAAAATATATATCTATTTGTATCAGTTATCTAGTACCCATAACACAAGCTTTAGCTAGCTTAACTTGGGTCTAGATGGCGCTGTGTGAATTGTCCTGAGATTATTATTATTATTACTGATTCTGCTAGATTATTCTATTTTAGTTATTTTCGTAGTTTACTCTCTTATGGAATATTACTATGGGGAAAAGCGGCAGATATTAAAAATATATTCATATTACAAAAACGTGCCATTCGAGCGATCTACTGTATGAAGAGTCGTGACTCATTAAGAGAGAAATTCAATGAGGCAAATATTCTCACCGTTGCTTCTCAATTTATATATTCAAATATCCTATATGTTCATAAAAATCTTGACTTATTTCCAAAAAACAGCAATATTCATAATATTAATACTAGATTTAAAGACAAACTTGCTGTCCCCAAGTATCGTTTAGAAAAAGTCAATAGGTCTTTTATAGGAATAGGTATAAAAATTTACAATAAGATACCAAAGGATATGTTGAAATAAATAAATTCAAAACATCTGTTAAATCATATTTACTGAGCAAAGCCTATTACTCACTAAACAATTACTTGAATAACGAGCGTGCATGGCAATAGTTGTTCATGCACTGAATTTTCATTTAATGTTAGACATAGACACCTATATAAATATACATTGTAAATAAACTGGCTTTAAAAAAAAAGTAATTCAATTTATTTTTATTTTTTTTTTATTTTATTTTATTTATTTATTTACTTAATACAGAAAACATGTGTACTAATTTACTAAAGAAACGATGATATTCACAGAAGTATAAAACTGTGTTGCAAATATCGACGCCCTCCACCTAGTATATATAATTCCAAAAACTAAAATAAAAAATAAAAATACATGCAATGTCGTTACCCATCACGTATTGTCTAAAAAATTTACAAAATATTTAAATTTACCAAAAACAAAGAAAATTTAACTTATAAACAAAAAGAAAGAATGCACAAAACAAAAAGAACCTATGCCTGTATTTGATATGTATATATGTAAAACATTATGCGTATGTGTGTGTGTGTGTGTGTGTGTGTGTGTGTGTGTGTGTGTGTGTGTGTGTGTGTGTGTGTGTGTGTGTGTGTGTGTGTGTGTGTGTGTGAGAGAGAGAGAGAGGGAGGTCTACGATTACTATACATTATTTTTTAATTGAGTTTCTTGCCAGTTCTTCTCAATTGGATCTATATACCGAACTGGACGGTAGGGAAAAATTAAAATGAGAATGTAAAAATTTGACGTTCATAAGCGGCTAAAATGTCCTACATGAATAAATGATTTTTTAATTTGAATTTTGAGTTTTAATAATGATCTTCATAGTTCCGACTACTATGTTAGTGATAAACTCTAAAAGTAGTTTTTTTTTCGGACTACTCTAATGCTTTACAGTAATATAGCTTATGAATCAGAATAACATATAGAAAGAAAGAAAGAAAAGTATTTTATTCAGTGCAATGTAAAAAATACAATATAAACAACAAACGAAAAAAAAGAGCAAATAAAATGTACATATAATTAAACTTAATAGGCTTATATATAGGCTATATTCTTTATTGAAATTTAACGCGAGTGAAACCGCGGGTACACGTAGTATATTATATCAAATATACATAACTCAAAGATGACTGACTGACTGACATAGTGATCTATCAACGCACAGCCCAAAACACTGGACGGATCGGGTTGAAATTGGCATGCAGGTAGATGTTATGACGTAGGCATCCACTAAGAAAGGGTTTTGATTAATTCTACACCCAAGGGGATGAAATAGGGGATGAAAGTTTGTATGAAACTTTGTCAATTTTAAACCGATCGGGCTGAGATTTTGCATGTATAAAGCTACTATGACGTAGGCATCCCCTAAGAATGGATTTTGATAGATTGCACCCCTAAGGGGATAAATTAACGCGAGCGAAGCCGCGGGCAAAAGCTAGCTATATATATAAACCTTCCTCTAGAATCAATCTATATATTAAACCGGTTCAGAATCCGTTGCGTAGTTTTAAAGATTTAAGCATACATGGGGAGTGGGGACGGACAGACAGCGAGAGCGACTTTATTTTAGACTATCTAATAATTATATTGCACTTTTTTGATTAATTCTACACCCAAGGGATTTTCAAACAAACTTTCATCCCTATTTTATAAATAGGGGATGAAAGTTTGTTAGAAAATATGAAATATAAATGTGAAAAAGTGAGAAGGACAGTAAAAAGGAAGTTACAATTTTTTTTTTAATTTCCGTAATTGCGAAATTTTACTTATATATATATATATATACTTATTATATAATGTCATTTAATTCACACAAAAATTATACTCACAACACTCGTGAGTTTCATCTCACAATCGTACGTCTTGGCTAGTCCGAAATCAGCCAGCTTCACGCGGCCTGCAGATGTGACGAGCAAGTTGTGCGGCTTCAGGTCTCTGTGTACGATGCGATGCGAGTGCAGGAAGTCGATGCCTGACAGGATATCTCTGGACATGCTCTGGAAGGTAACAGTAGTAAAAATTTTATATACATCTATACATATAAATAAAATTGGAGTATCTGTTTGTAATATTGAAGTAACCGTTTTTTACTACATGCATATGAATATAAATACGGTATATACAGCAAAATATTTTTTTTTTATAATTTTTTTCTGTCTGTTTGTTCCGGATAATATCTGAAGTGACTGAACCGATTTTATCGGGACTTTTATTGGCAGGTAGCCGATGTAATAAGGAGTAACTTAGGCTACTTTTATTTTACAAAAATAAAGTTAAATTCCACGCGGATGAAGTCGGGGGTACAGCTAGTAAATCTAAATATATATAACTCAAAGGTGACTGACATGGTGATCTATCAACGCACAGCCCAAACCACTGGACAGATCGGGCTGAAATTTGGCATGCAGGTAGATGTTATGACGTAGGCATCCGCTAAGAAAGGATTGTGATTAATTCTACCCCCAAGGGGATAAAATAAAGGATGAAAGTTTGTATGAAACTTTGTCAATTTTAAACCGATCGAGCTGAGACTTTGCATGCATAAAACTACTATGACGTAGGCATCTCCTAAGAGAGAATTTTGATAAATTCCACGCCTAAGGAGATAAATTAACGCAAGCGAAGCCGCAGGCAAAATTAACCTGTATCCTATGCTCGGATAATGGACTTGGTGCTCGCTTGAGGAATGACTCGAGATCTTGCTCGACGTGTTCAAAGACCAGGAACAGAACCAACTGCTGGTCCCGATCAACTGATGGTCCACCGTGGCAGACGTCCAGCAACCTGAGGATATGAAGTGATACTTATAATAAGTGTACATTTTTTTAAAATAATGCATTGAAATAACCTGTATTTTTACATATAAATAAAATTGGAGTGTCTGTTTGTAATATTGAAATAACCATTTTTTACTACATACATATGAATATAAATACGGTACATACATCAAAATAACATTTTTGCAAATTAGGCAAAATGTTTTATTCATATTTTTTTATTATGTGTCATTAAAAAATATATACAACCTAAAATTTTCACCCTTCTATCATCAACCCTTATTTTTTTATAGCATTATTAACTTATATGGCAGAACAATGTTTGCCGGGATAGCTAGGAATATATAAATAATAATATAATTAGCCTGAAATAAATAAATACATAAAAAAAATGTAAAATACATAAAAAAAATGTAAAATACATAAAAAACAAGTAGCTACTCACCTCACAATATTGGGATGTCTATAAGCCTCCAACTGCCGTAGTAGGGCTATCTCACGCAGCGTGGACAGTGGTATCCCGTCCTCAGTGATTGGGACCTTCACCTTCTTCATCGCCACCACCTGCCCTCCATTGTGGAGGTCCCTTGCCTTATATACTGTGCCATATGCACCTGAATTATAGAACACAAAACAATTAGAAAAAGTTACTTTTGAACTTTCATGTTTATTATACATTACATTAATAACCAGGTCTTAAGACAATTAGTTTTATGGCAAACTAGATCTTTGTCCGCATGAAATTTAATAAAAAAAAGTTAATTTGTTTTATTTTCTTTTTTCTAAAATATAAGTAGCCTAAGTTAGATAGATAGATATATTCTTTATTCACAATTACAGACACATAACATACATGATATTGAGTGAATTACATGAGTTACTCTTTACATCAGTTACCTGCCAATAAAAGTCCCGTCAAAATCGGTCTAGGATTTCAGAGATTACCAGGAACAAACAGACAGACAGACAAAAGTTATATATATTTTGGTGTATGTTCTATGTATAATAGGTTCAGCCATTTCAGAGATTAGCCGGAACAGACAGACAGAGAAAAATTATAAAAAATTATATTTTGTTGTATGTACCGTATTTATATTCATATGTATGTAGTAAAAAATGGTTATTTCAATATTACAAACAGACACTCCAATTTTATTTATATGTATAGATTAAGGTCTCTCTGATTAACCTCTCTGAATGTTTCGACAAGGTCGCACTAGTCACGGTCACAAGCTGACTGGAGTAACAGCAATGTCAAATACCTTTATTTGCCATAAAATTATTCAGGTTAAGACCCAGTTAATAATTAGAAAATTTAAAAAAAGCTGTTGCTAATAGCACCAGCAGCATGCGATATGTGACATGTGTAACTTTGTATAATGAAGAAACATCTCCTTGGTAAAAAAGACTTCTATTCTAACTGTCGTCTCTATCATTTGAAGCTCCCAGGTTCTCAACAAAGTAGGTCATAGACCTAAACCCTAAAGGACATCCCTTGCACACACCCCCTTAAAGAAATAATCATTATTCAGAAACATAATAGAAAGTCTTTACTTTACTATCCAAGTAATGTATTTATTCTACCATTCATTTAATGTGCAGAGTTAGCACAAAAATAATAACTATAATAATAATATAGTTATGTACTTGACTTAGGTCCATAAATAGCAAAACTACTAGTAAAATAGAATAAAATAGAATAGGGTGTAGGTCCATAAATAGCAAAAATAACAGTAAAATAGAATAGAAAATCCTTTATTTTAATAAATATAATTTAAGCACTTTTGAATAGTCATAACATTTTTTTTAATCTACCACTCATTAGGAAGACTGTGTCATCACAAGAAGATTGAGAAGAGTCAATCATTGTAAGTTTAAATTTTTCAACTCGAAACATGTGAATTGAAGAAATCTGAGAAGAAAAAAGCTACAATACTGCATACCTGTGGCATAACTAGAAAATCCCTGACTTCCTCAATAATATTATCTTCAAATAGCACTACCTCTCCCACACTCAGCAAAGTCCAGTATGGGTGAGAATTACTTTCTTTTAAACCAGATAAAAGAAAAGAAAAGAAAAATAATAATATAACTCTTTATTGTACAAAGAAAATATTTACAAAAAGGAAACTTTACATGAATATGTTAAAACAGATGTTTTGTTGCCTTTATCCCTCAACGCAATCTCACTGAAGAATGTACTAGAAACTTGCCTATTGTTCTTTTAAACAATTGTTAATTAACCTAATAATTTTGAGTTTTGTAGGAATACACAAATTTCCAAGAAAAAAATTATAAATATATAGTTACTTGCGTAACAAAATAAACTACGCTCTCGCGGTTAACGCATCTAAGTTCAATAATATTTAGGAATTTAAACCGAATTACTATTATTATTTTAATAAAATTAAAATTAATTAAAAGAAAACCATAGACAAAGTTTCGTCTGTACAAAGGTAGTGCTTTTGCCAAACTTTTATCAACAAAGAAAAGTTAAGTAAAAGAGGTTATTCAGCCGGCACATGTTGTTTAGATAAATAAATTACCTGTTCCTATTATATTCAACTCTTCATACTTCTTAGGAGACTGGAATAGAGCACTAACGTCGCTTAATGTAGAAACAGCGGAAGTACTTTGCGAAGAATCACTTGATAGCGACATTACGTTTATTAAATAGGTAACACAAGAAACACTTATTCTATCAACAATTATTTTTAAATGTAACTATAACACTTAAGTTTTATTTCATATAAAATATACTATAACATTGATTAAACGTGTAAATAACTAGAAATACTCATATAAAAATATCAAACTTTGTTTGGGACGACTTGTTACTGTTGTTATATTTTTTATTTACAGTTGGAGGGTTACCAACTCTAAAAAATATTTACACCTGTCGCTAAATTAATCTTTGAACTTTCGAATGATAAACTTATTATTAATTTCACTAATATTTTTGAGATTTTGTTATTGATTGCTTTGTATTAGTTATTCACTGTTGATAAAAAAAACAATGGGTTTCTTACGTAAAGTATTTTATTACTATGTCATCTATCCATTTGCTGTAGTTTACGCAGATATAAATTTCATTATGACAAAGAAATACTTGTTGTTTTCTTTCTAATATCAAATAGTTAACTGAAGAATGATTCAACGATAGATATAAAAAATACAATAAGAAACTAACCTGCATAAATAATATTTAAAGAAGTAACTCAAATCGAAATACATTTTATAAACACCAGATAAGAGCGTGAGGTTATTAGGGTATGTATGGAATGAGTTAATAAAAAATAAATACACAAAACTATGCAGAGCATTGCGTGTGTCTTAACTAACTACAAGGAATATATTACTTATGACTTATCGTATTGATACAGTTGACATATTTATAAAGTAGCGAGTTGGCTTGCTCCCACAGTGGTGGCATTGTTTGCAGTCATTGCCATAATTTATTGATTATCAATGTTATTATAATGATATATAGTCTCAATATTATATATTTCGATTAGTAAAAGTACAAAATATTTAACCTCATACAGGTTAAATATTTTTTAGTAGTTGGCAACTCCATCTCATATGATTTTTATTTCCAAAATTTCGAGTTAGTCTATTGTTGAGATTTTAAAACTATAACATCAAATCAAATATCAACAACAAAATTAGCAATGTAAGGTTTATATTGAATTATTCATGAGAGCGCCATCTCTTAAAGAAACTATGAACTAAGGATGCACTGGGTAAAGAAAAACTTTAATAAAAGTGGCATTAAATTGTTAAATAATTGCTAGTTTTAATAGTATCACTGTTAAAATAAATAATTATCACCACCTATGGTATTCAAAAATTGAGATAACTTATGGGCTCGTCCGGGATTTGAACCCGGGACCTCTCGCACCCGAAGCGAGAATCATACCCCTAGACCAACGAGCCACGTCGTTAATGCTCGAATTTATCAAATGGATTGTGTTTGTGATGACGTCATAGAATACTAATAAATTCATTTGGGTTTACTTTTAAGTGTTGGTTATTATTACCTGAGAATGAGCTGTTATCGATCTTTTTCACTAATAATATGTTTTATTACAACTTGAAATGTTGACAATTTTTTTTTATTATAAGAATATATAATTACAATAAAAAAACCATAGAGAGAAAACTTTCAGAAAGTACTGGTTGATTATATTAACAGAAAAAAGGTGTTATTATATAGTGTATCATTAGACTATTTTGGATTATACTGAGTTCGCATCAAAATAAGAAAATACCAAAATCACCTCTAGGCGTTTAGAAAGTTGACGATGACGCGCGAAAGGAGAAAAAATTACCGCTACATGACACCCTATATCCGTCCCGTTCTGTATCACCAAAGTCGTATAATCTATCTCTATCGCACACATACCATAGGTTGAATTCATTTTATAACGCCAGTCTTCTACGCTTAGCGCTACGCGCGCATGTTCGAATTGTGAATAGCCGGAAATTAACCCTATTATTTTTAAATTTCGTATTTGGAATACATATTTTCATTTATAATTTTTGTTCATTGTCTATGGTAAATTAAATATATTTTTAAAGTGTGTTTTATTTTGAGCGCGTGCATAATTGATATTGTGTGGTGCATGTAGAAATGTGAAAGTTTTATCGTGTATGATACAGTGTTGGTTTTACACTTGTATCCTACTTATTTTGTACTCAACAGCTGTTTTGGCTTTCATTGGACGTGTAAGTATTTATTTGGATGCGTTAACTTAGCTTTAGTTTTTTTTTTAATTTACTTTTTATTATAAAAGTGGGTACTTCTTATTTATTATATTATAATATCTAATAATATTGAATATTACAACATTGATTAATGCAGAAAACCTAAGACTCGTTATACAATAAACTTTTTGCCACGCAAAACCACATTGTGGAATCACCTTCCAGCAATGGTATTTCCGAACCGATACGATATTGAAACCTTCAAGAAAACAGCTTATTCCTTCTTAAAAGGCCGGCGACACACTTGCAATTCCCCTTGTGTTGCGGGTGCTTAGTAATTACTTACCATCAGGTGAGCCGCAAGCTCGTAAGTGTAAAGTAATATTTGTGTGTTGCATTAGTGGCTAAAATGTCCTAACTGAATAATTGAATTTTGAAGTTTATAATGTACTAGCTTTTGCCCGCGGCTTCGCTCGCGTTAATTTATCCCCTTAAGGGTGGAATTTATCAAAATCCTTTCTTAGGGGATGCCTACGTCATAGTAGCTTTAAAATTGACATCGGTTTAAAATTGACAAAGTTTCATAGAAAATTTTACCCCCTATTTTATTCTCTTGGGGGTAGAATTAATCAAAATCCTTTCTTAGCGGATGCCTACGTCATAACATCTACCTGCATGTCAAATTTCAGCCCGATCCGTCCAGTGGTTTGGGCTGTGCTTTGACTGATCACTATGTCAGTCACCTTTGAGTTATATATATTTAGATTCCTTATGGATGATAATGGAATACATCTGACTGCGCTAACGGTATACGCTGGCGGTTGTATGAAGATGTTTACGCCAGGAAAGGTTTCAAGATGGTTTTAAGGAAGTTAAGGAGATGGAGCTGATGGGTAGGATATCTATACATATAAATAAAATTGGAGTGTCTATTTGTAATATACCGTACAACATATTTCTAAAGTTAAAGTAGCCCTAAGTTATTCCTTATTACATCAGCTACCTGCCAATAAAAGTCCCGTCAAAATTAGTCCAGCCATTTCAGAGATTAGCCGGAACAAACAGACACACAGACAAAAATTGTAAAAAAATATTTTGGTGTATATACCGTATTTATATTCATATGCATGTAGTAAAAACAGTTATTTCAATATTACAAACAGACACTCCAATTTTATTTATATGTATAGATATACTAGCTGACCAGCGCAAATTCGTCTGCGTTTCCACCTTTTGCAATATTTTTCATTGCAGCTCGGCTCCTATTGGTCGTAGCGTAATGTTATATAGCTTAAAGCCTTCCTCGACAAATGGACTATCCAACAGAAAAATAATTTTTCAATTCGAACCAGTAGTTCCTGAGATTAGCGCGTTCAAACAAACAAACTCTTCAGCTTTATAATATTAGTATACTCGTAGATGTAACTATTACTTTGTAGTATTAATTATTTTGTAATAATCTTAAATTGATTTACAAGTATTATTTGCAACTATCATTTACTTTTCTTAATAGTAGGTGAACCAGTAATTCGAACATATTGTTTTTTTTCGGACTACTCTAATGCTGTTGGCCGCAGCTGGCCTTTACAGCTTCACCGGACGATAGGGGGCGAGTGCAGATGGCACTCCAAACCAAAGGAAGGACTTATGGAGCGGCTGAAGGACAACTCCCGCCTGACGGATACGACTTTACTCAATATATTGCACATTTAAATTTTTTATTAATACGAATGAGCTAAAGATAGGTTCTTCTTTTTGGTGAGTCGAGTTGGAACTTCGACTCCGCGGAAAGCAGCCGAGGGCCAACTCCCTAAAGACGGATACAACTTTTATAATTTATTTATTTATTTAAATTTATTTATTCAGATAACAGAGATCCAATTTGTTAGTAACAATTGTACTTAGCCTACGTTAGTATATCTAAAATTACAATAATGTCAATAATGTCTTGCACATTTTGTTTTAATTATTATACTGTTTGGGATTTGAAAATTAAGTTTTTCAGTTATGTGTAATTCTAAAACAAACTACAAACTTGTTTAAAGAAAATCTGACTAGTGTGAAACTTTGTTATTAGTTGCCTAGTCCTATGGACTATTCATTTAGTTTAATTAGTTATTGTAGAAATTTTTCATAGTAGCACACTTTGTTTGGGGGTAAGGGACATATGCAGGTCTAATAATAAAAAAAGTTAATAAATGCTATATATATATATTATATATACCACTAGGGGTTCGAACCTCGGCTCAGACAGTCGGAATGTCGATCCCCGTTTGAATTGGACGGGAATCGTTCGGAGGTTTTTTTTTTTTTTATACCACTTTGGTGGCAAACAAGCATAATCTGATCGATCCCCGTTTGAATTGCCGGACCCTTCTTGAAAACCCCCATGCTGTAGTCTCTCGAGAAAACCTCGACAGGTTGGTGTGGTAGGTGTGGTCCGCTAGTATGAAATTCGTTTTCACTAACTGTTAGCGATATGATTAGGGGCTTTATTTATATGACAATTTTGGTTGTATATAAGTAGTTTATTCTAATAGTAGTAATTTACAGCTATATATAGTAATGAAGAACAGTATACAAAAATTAGTGATCAGAAAATTATTTATTCAAATAAACTTAATAGCACTTTTGAATAGAATGTCATCACAAGAGTTAAATTGTAGATTGTTTTCCCGCGCCAAACGCAACGCGCCACAGAGCCCCCTCCGATCGATCCCCCGTCCAATTCAAACGGGGATCAAAATTACGATGGCCTGAGCCGAGGTTCGAACCCCTAGTGGTGCCCTCAGACTAAAGTCGTATCCGTCGGGCAGGAGTTGGCCTTCAGCCGCTCCATAAGTCCTTCCGCAGGTTTGGAGTGCCATCTGCACTCGCCTCATAACGTCCGGTGACGCTGTAAAGGCCAGCTACGGCCAACAGCATTAGAGTAGTCCGAAAAAAAAAAGGGCCACAGAGTCAAAATATACGGACGGCGCGCAGCCGCAGTAGGACGATGAGAGCATTATGGCAGTATACGCGATGTTAATACTATGAGTATTAACACTAACCTTTAAGTGACTCCTAATTCCTTAGTCCTTCCCTTATATTTTCATTCATTCATAATTTAAGAGCTGTGCTCTTGTCGGTGGAGCTCCCGCCACCTTCCACGATCTTCTATCAGTCCCTTTAGCTGTTGATACGACACGACTCCAACTTTTCTTTAACTTGCTTGATATAGCTGTGTCTCGGTCTTCCCCTTCCTCTCTTTCCATCTATTTTTCCTTCTATAATGTTGTTAATTAGTTCGTCGTGTCGTATCAAGTGCCCCAACATTTTTCCCCGCCTATTCTCAATAATATCTATGATCTGTCTCTTTTCTTTAATCCTCTCAAGCACTTCTTCATTCCTTATTTTATCTTTCCAGCTAATTCTTTCCATACTTCTCCAACACCACATTTCAAAGGCACACTTATATTTTAGGAGCTCGATATTTCTCTCCCACACAAAAAGTTAATAAATGCTATAAAATATATATCGAACCTCGGCTCAGACAGTCGTAATATCGATCCCCGTTTGAATTGGACGGGGATCGATTGGAGGGGTGGTCCGCTAGTATCAAATTCGTTTTCACCAACCTTTAAGTGACTCTTAAGTCCTTAGGGGTCCCTTATATTTTTGGAACTCGATATTTCACTCCCTAACTCTTAATGTAACAATAATTTCGTTATTTCTAAGCAAATATTATTAATAATTATTTCACGAAACGCACAGTTGGTTAGTGAAAACGGGTATAACAGTTAGTGAACTTCTAAATAAATAAATAAATAAAATACCTTATCTTTAATTACAATTCTTCAGTGATTTTTAGCAGGGACGTTAGGGAGCTCCGTAATCATAACCGGAACTATCGGATATCCGATATAAAAAATATCCGTAACCGTAACCGAATCCGAAATAAAAGTTTCAGATAATATCGGATAGGGACGGAGCCTAATTGAGACACGTTATGTAACCATTTTATTAGCTATTTGTATTTTACTTTTGAAATTCCTTAAAAAAATTATATCCGTAACCGAAATTATCCGAAAGTAACGGATAATCCGAAATAATCTCATATCCGCATCCGTATACGGTATCATAATCATTACTATATCCGAAACCTATCCGTATCCAAAATTTCATATCCATAACACCCTGATTTTTAGTTATTTTCAACAAAAAATTAATATGTAAAAAACGTGTATATACATATAATTAATCTTAAGTTTACATAAATATATTATATGTATATAATATTTACATATAATTAAATAAAAAATAAAAAGTTATATCTTGAAGGGATATAAAGTCTCGAGCCGTACAAGGGCAGGGACTAGTGACCCAAATGGCGGGAAACCGGTCCCTCGGTCAGTTGGACGCATGCGCATTCCGTGTGTTAAGGAGAAGTAGTTACTACGAGTCGACCATAGACAAAAATATTATTGTTTATTTAGACCGAGGTTCGAACCCCTAGTGGTATATATTTTATAGCATTTATTAACTTTTTTTATTATATGTCCCTTATCCCTCTCCATACAAATTGTGCTACTATGAAAAATTTCTACAATAACTAATTAAACTAGGTGAATAGTCCATAGGACTAGACAACTAATAACAAAGTTTCACACTAGTCAGATTTTCTTTAAACAAGTTTGTAGTTTGTTTTAGAATTACACATAACTGAAAAACTTAATTTTCAAATCCCAAACAGTATAATAATTAAAACAAAATGTGCAAGACATTATTGACATTATTGTAATTTTAGATATACTAACGTAGGCTAAGTACAATTGTTACTAACAAATTGGATCTCTGTTATCTGAATAAATAAATTTAAATAAATAAATAAATTATAAAAGTTGTATCCGTCTTTAGGGAGTTGGCCCTCGGCTGCTTTCCACGGAGTCGAAGTTCAAACTCGACTCACCAAAAAGAAGAACTTATCTTTAGCTCATTCGTATTAATAAAAAATTGAAATGTGCAAAAATATATGAACTTAG